TCAATGAAAACACGTTCATATGACCCACCTTTTTGATTATATAACCTTATAAATACAAGAAAACATATTTTATGTTATTCGCAATTTTTTTGCCATGTCTGAGCACACAAACGATCACTTACTAGAAACAAAATAGAATGGTACTTCACCTAAAAAACATTGAATAGTCTGAGAAAGCCCTTGAATAGTTTTTATATGGGGTTCATATTCAGGATGATGTAAATTGGTTATGTCTTCGAGGTACCTAAATGCGGAATAGAAAAAATTGTGTATTGTTAATTACAATTTTACAAGATTAAAAAAAAAACTATTAACGGTTATTATTTGTTCCAAAATGATGTGTTGGAATCTAGATAATGACGACACAGTGCACAGATATATACTGAGTGGTCATTTTATCGTGAACCACATTATCTCATAGGGTTGATAAGAAATTATTTTTTTTTATACAATGTGATCCCAATTTTCACAATTTTTTTTTGTTTTTACCAACTTATTGTCAACTTATCCAACCTATCAACTTAGTGTTTTTATGGAAAATGTTGAAACTTGAATAGCACTACCCGTCCTAACTTTAAAACTTTTATAATTTTAAAAATAGTTATCCAAAACTGGATATCGACCAGTCAACATTTTTAGTACACTTTTCTCAATTTAAAAAAGTTAATAAAATGTATGCGTTACGATTTAAGTTTCAAAAGTTACTGTCAAAAAAATAAGTTAAGAGAAGTGTAAAAAAATTCAAAATGTAAAAAATTGAGATCACACTTTATATAAAAAATAATACCTAAAAGTCCCCTACACAATTTTGGTGCGAATATTGGATCACAAAGATTCATATTTTCACTATTAGAGGACTTGAAATTATATATAACACACCCCATGATATAGCGTTATGTATACTGTACAAAATGTTTCCTGCAAATTAAAAAAAACCGAACACCTGTGCACTATGCTATCCATATGATATTGTATCTTACCAGATGACAAAATACAGAACAAAGGTATAAAAGAAACCGAACGAAATGGTTGCAATTAAAAATACGATTACTCTAAAATCAGTCAAAACTGTTTTCATATTGCCACTAAAAGTTTCTGTTTTTTTAACTTGTTCAACCTGAAATTATACAGGTTCTTTAGTGTAGTTAGTTACAAAATACCTCTGTACCAAAACTATATAACTTTAAAATAATAACAGATAGTATAAACAATCTATCGAAATTTATATGGTTTCGGTAATCGCAATATTAATTTGTTTGTTAGATCAAATTGACCGAAACCAAAATGTATTCTAATTGTAGATTACCTTGATTTTAGCCGAAACGTACACGTCGAAGGCTACGCATATAAATGCTATCACGAATCCGGGTCTAAAGTCGTCATGAGCTTGTCCTATGCTAAACCAGTCGACGACCACCCCAGAAACTATAGAAATTATACCGTAACCAATTGCTCCCCAAACTCTTTGTTGTCCGTAATTGTGTACATTGTCTCCTGGAGAGAAAAAAAATAGTTACATTCTGTCTAAGCGTGAAAACATATTTTATGATTAATAAAGAAATATTTATCGACTAGGAACATCGATGTACCGAGTAGACTGACACAGATCGTATCCTCCATGAGCGACCGCATTACACATCCAAGGTATAAGAAAAACAATAAAAAAAAGAACACCCAGTACAGCAAGGTGTTAAACACGATCTCATCGGCGATACTTTCTGCGACCGTTGCACCAGGTAAAAATATCAATCCGAGAACTGCTAGTGCTGAAAGCACCTCTCCAATGAGAAACATCAATTTCCGGCATTGGTAGGCGTCCGTGACGCTTCCTAGCAAAGGTCGTACAACAAGACTAGGTATCTGCAAGCCAGTCAAAGTGATTCCCATCGCCAATGCGGAATATCCTCGTTGTTTTCCAATAGTGGCACAAAACGGAATAACAGGTGCGTAGGCTAATGTAAAAAATATAGAAAAAAAACGTCAATAATTAATTTAAAAAAAAAAACAATAAAAATAAAGAACTCAAACTTTCTAAGACGATTCGAATACTTTTTTTTTTTATTCGAATAACTATTTTAACGTAATTAAGTTTTTTTTAAATTATATCATCAATAGCAAAATAAGCTGTAAGGTAAAAAAAGTATTAAAAAAAAAAAAAATAGGAATGAATCATTTAATCAAAGTAATTTTTTAGTTTGAATAATAATCATTCGAATAATGCCCAACTCTGCTTATACAAGTAAGGTCAGCTGGCATTATCTATTTTCTAGTTGCTTTACTCAAAGACGTTTTTACATTTCTAGTGCCCTGGAGCACTGTTTATTTAGTGCCCTCGCAAAATTTTAAACGACTTAACAAAATTCAATTTTTCGGCACGAATTTTATATTACTAGTTCCATCGTGGTAATTTCAGATTCGTTAGAGATAACAGATGAACTATTAAGACGGTTATCATTTATTCTTGATCTTAAATGAGTTTTTACTCTCTTCTGTGCAGAATAAGATACGTCGGCTTATCAATTGAAAATTGGGAAGCAAAGAAACATCCTCTCCTGACTCTTTCTCCGTTTTTCTATTTATTCTACAAAACTTCATATTTCTATTTTAATAAACACATACTTACAAACTCCATCCTTGTTTCACGTTCAAGAAAAGATGACAGCTTTTGTCATGCATCAAAAAGTGCACCTACATACATTCACTCTTACCCTTTTCATTATAAACATATCAACAGACAAACAGTAATATTGTATCATCAATGGAGTGTAAAAGTGAATGCTAGTTATATTTTATATTATAATATCTTACCGCCCCATGCGAAAAAGTAGTTCATTTTCATGAAAAGTAAATCTCTGTTGATTTCCCTGCCACATAGCATGTTTAATTTTTCTACTACTTTCATAAAAATGTAAGGAAAGAAAATTTCAAAATAATAAATCGTGTTGTCAACTGGAATGATCAATATCTTATGTTATATTAAATACATTAAGAGGAAGTTTTTTCAATGATATATCAATAATATGACATTTCATTATTTGTTAATATAAGCTGTATTATAAACACTCATGGTTTTCACGTGCTTTATAAAACAATAGATATCTTATGATATATTAGCTTAAGCTTATACTAGCTTAAGTGATAGTTGTCAACGATTAATTATTTGATAATATAAGCTGTATTAAAAACACTTGTGTCCATCAAGTTCAAGTGATAAAAAATATGAGTTCAGTTTTTTGTTCTAATTAAAGAAATAAAATGGGCTTTTTTTCGATACGGTCAAACATTTTTAAACCCCAAAAAAGTTGATTAAACCAAAAAAATTGTTTCAGATACAGTTTTGACGATTATTGTTTTACAAAGTACCAAAAAACGAAGATTATGTTTTAATTTCAAAGAAATTATACGATATTGTCCACGTTAACTTTTTAAGTGTTATAAAAACTTATAAAAAAAAAGAAATTTATATTTTTTGTTGTAGTTGAAACTGCGTTTATGCTAAAATTATTAAAACATTTTTATGCCAAATCTCAAGTCGTACTATCTTGGCTATTTCAGCAAGCGAGTTGTGCAAATTCGACATCGTAGTACCAGAAAAATTAAGTGTAACTTAATCAGTGCTTAATCGTTTGTTTTTCAGTCTGAACACAGCACAGGAAGGTTAATAAACATACCATATGCACTTCACTATAATTATAATTATAAATGCATATAATTAATTTGTATGCACTTCACAATTAATTTAAATATTCAGCGTATCTTTGCATACAAAATCTGGTATTAGGGTGTATTATTTTAAAATATGATACCATAAGAGTACAATTGACTCACAGTGTTTTTGATTAAGTATTTAATTAAATCTACTCTGCAAAAGAAGATTCAATTGACAGAGAAGAGATTTATACAGATTGTCGCAGAATCAACTAAAGGTACATGCAATTTATGTATCACAACAACCTAAGACTGTCACTTGACAGTTTGCTTATGACAACTGTTTGTATAACTGTCTAGACTCTAGATAAGTGTGTTTAGATAACTTCACTCTTATTTGCATAAACTATTGTTGCTTTAGAAAGCAAAATATATAAGATTAAAAATAGCTTTTGTTTGTACAACCACAAACTTTACATTTTTTTTTGTTGTATAATATAAATGTATGTAGGTACATGTGTGTATCTTTTACGTACCTTGTTGTGGATACAAGTACGCTGTCTATAAATATATTTTATTATATTCAATTAATACAAACATTTTGTGAAAGTTAAGTTCATGTAACAACTTGTATGTGACCTCTAGACAACCTTTACTCTAATGAGTACGTCGCAATAATTGTTAACAGTATAAATTTAAATATCATTTGCTTGTAATAAAAAAAACCTCATCTTAATGGTATTATTATCGTCTCTTAAATTTTATTTAAAAACCCCCTTCAACCACCTTCATTTAACATTGTGTATAAAGCCCGAGGTCAACAACAGCGTAAATCCCTATTTTAAAATATTTTTTTCAAAGTAAACAACTGATTTTGATTATTTTTTTCTTACATAAAAAAAGAGTACTCAAAATTAATTTTTTTCTTCTTTAAGTATTGTGTCGTTATAAACTAAATTCAAATTTTAAATACAAAAAAAAAACAATTATTCTATTAATTTATAACATTTTTATTAATATTCATTTTACATAAGATTTGTAGGCATGTCTCTAAATGAAAAACAATTTTGCTGATTAATTTTTAACAAAAAAAATTAAACTTAATGTAAAACTCTACAAGATTTGAACATTTTTTCAAAAAATTGTTTTGTGATACTTCAATTTAGATAGTATGTAATTGTTATACTTTATGTTAATTGAATGCATTTTTCTAATCTATAATGGGTATTAAGATAATGCATTTTTATATTTCTCCAAGCGGAGAGGCAATTGCACTTATCTTGAACATGGTATCGAAAGCCGACCGACATAGGCATACATTGAAATGTTTCTATATGAATAAACTATTCTTCGATTATCTGTCGATAAAACACAAAGTGATGACCGTTTTCATAAACGGAATATAAAACTCGCTCGTGGTATCGACTAGTCCGATCGGTTATTACAGAAGATCAACACAATAATTTTCCCGAAGAGTTATAATCATGTTTTTAGTGCGGTTCGCCTCGGCGTTATTGCCGTTCGCCGCGTTGTGTTTTCACCCGACACAGGCAGGATTACGGGTGTTAGCCGTGAACACGATATCGGGCAAAAGCCATTGGAATTTCATGAACGGATTTTTGCACGCGCTGACCGACTTCGGGCATAACGTTACGGTTTTCACGTGGTTTCCCGATGGAAAACGCCCAAACTACACGGAATTCGTCTTGGAGGGACCGTTGCGGTTGAATATGGATCTGGTAGGGTTCAAAGAACGGTTAAGACCTCCGAACAATCTAATCGACTACGTGGTGCACCGCAATAGACAATCTTGTGACAGCGTATTTGCAAACGCCAAAATGAAAACCATCATGGCTGCGGGCAACGCCGACGAGTTCGACGTCATCGTCACCGAATCACTTGCCACGGACTGTATGTCAGCGTTGGTCCGTCGTCTCCGTTTGCCACTGATTTACCTGTTCCCGTCGCCAATGCCGACCTACATGGAATCGTCGTTTCTTGGCGAAGACCCGAACCCCGCTTACGTGTCCAATTTTATGCTGTCTTTCGGCTACCCCAAGACGTTCCAACAGCGGTTGCTCAACTTTCTCACGTACAAATACAGCAGGTCTCTGTTGTGGTACGTCGAAACAATGGCCGTCAAGTCCGACCCCAGACCGTACGACCGGATAGAGCCGGTCAAACCGTCTTTGGTGTTTGTCAACAGTCATTTCATCGTCGAAATGGCCAGACCCATGCCGCCGAATATCATAGAAATCGGCGGTATCCACCTTCCCGAACCCAACGCCATACCAAATGTAAGTCCCAAATAATGCAATGGGCTTAGGTATATGTATGACGTAAGTAATATGTTCCCCTTTCCGCTTAAACTAGTGGTTAGGGTTTGATGAAGTATAGTTTCGCAAAATGTTTAAATTGAAGTAGCTTGATTGGTTTTAAGACGTATTTCATATATTATTCTACAACTACTATTCCATTTAGCAAAGTATGTGTAATTCAGTTTAACTTTATGAGTACTTACTATAGTAAAATTGATATTGAAATAAAGACATTTATTGATACCCGGTGAAGAATGAAAAGTCTAAGCACTTAACAGTATCGTCAATAATGTTTTTTTTATTTACTCGGTCGTCGATTTTTAATACATCTAATCCATGCTTTTAAATAATTGTTTTCATTGGATTGTATAAGAAGAGTCATTAGCAAAACGACGGTCATGAAGTGGCTCATGTGTAAATTTCGAGAGGTTTAAGCCATAGTAAAAACAAACAATTGTTCAAAAAAAGATATGATGACGTGTACGCAATTTTAAACAACCGCCGTAATACAAATAGTAAATATCAGGTGTATTTTCAAACATTTAAATATGCAACAACAAGTGGGTTTAAATCGATTTTTTAAATTATATTTTTCTTAGATAATATTTTTTTATTTATTTAATTATTTTTGGCCACCTTTTTTTATACTTTGAACCTTTGCGTTGCGTCTTGCATGCCAAAAATGCTAAAAATTGCGCGGCATGCATTTAATTAATCGGTTAAAATTTTGAAAAAACTTCAGGATATACGAGAGTTTATTGAAAATTCACCGAATGGAGTTATTTACTTCACGTTCGGATCGTCAATAAAAATGTCGTCGTTTCCTGACCACATTAGAAACGCATTCAAACTAGCTCTTGCACGACTCCCCCAGAGAATACTGTGGAAATACGAGTGCGAAATGGAAGGCAAACCGGACAACGTGATGACGAAAAAGTGGTTCCCTCAACGTGATATTCTCTGTAAGAATCGCAGGGAGGATGTGTATAAAGAAGTGCCTAGATTATTATTAATTCACAACTGTAAACGAGCGAACCGATTTTTATCCTAGTGCATCCGAATGTCAAGCTGTTCATCGGACATGGCGGGATATCTGGTGTGTTTGAAGCTGTCGATGCCGGAGTTCCGATGTTAGGGTTTCCGCTATTCTACGATCAACCGAGGAACATTGGTAATCTCGTCGAAGCCGGAATGGCCATTTCACTCGACGTGATGACTGTCACCGAAACTCTGATTTTCGAATCGGTTAATAAATTAATTAACGATAAAAAGTAAGAACCGCAGTAAAAAACATCACGTTATTAATTAATAATATTGAAATATGGAACATTACACATAGGAAAAACAAAAAAAACTATTTTTATAGACAATACGTATGGAGAGTAAAATAATAACTCGAACAGCAAACGTTTGCATAGTGTAGGATCAGTGTATAATTTAATCGAAACTCTTGTTTGTATTAAGTAAATTCTTATCTACAAAATTCAGTAATAGTATTATACATAATATATAGTTTTTACAATTTTTTTTTTTTTATATATACATCTTACATCAATAAAAATGATTTTCTTTGGGGCAATATCAGTGAATAGTTATGTAATGTTAGGCTGGTAGATATTATCATAAATTGTACAAAATATTTTGTATTCAAATATAATTATATAATTGGAATCCTATGGATAGACTTAATTTAATTATTTTAGTTCATTAATTTGCAATCAATGTTATTCCAATACAAATTATGTTTTAGGCGTTATGAAACTTATTATTTTTTTAAATTTGTTCTTTTGTACTCACAATTAGGTACTTGTCTAACGCTAAACTAGCAACCAAGCGTTTTAAGGACCGCCCAATGTCGCCTGCTAAAATAGCCGCTTACTGGACTGAATACGTCGTACGACATGATGGTGCACAACATCTTAAGACAAAAGCGTTTGATCTCACGTGGTACGAATACTACCTTTTAGATATAATATCTCTGGTACTCGTCACGTTTTCAGTCATTGGCTTTGTTATATATAAATGTTTAAGTATTGTATGCAAACAATTTTTATTCAAGTTAAAGTTTAAAACCGAATAATTTTGTGTTATGCGTTTTTTTTTTTGGTGAAAAAAAATATTAAAATTTTTTTAGAATTTATGTTCCACACTAATAATATTAATTTATACCAATGATCTATTTTTTGAAACATTAAACAAATATATTTTAATAATTTATAGCATATTTGATAAGCCATCTTACAGAAATAAAGTAGTTCCAAACTAAAGGGAGGGCGATGCATGCAATCGACACGTAATGGAAAACAAACCTTATCACTGTACAAAACCCGCCAAATTTTGGAACAGGAAATTACCAACTTGAGTAACGCAATTTTTTTGTATTTATACAACAGTAATATTAGCATTAGTTTTAAGTAGATTAAACAATGTTTACTATACAATATGGAAATGACATTTTCATATTTGGCCTCCCAGCTAGAAACTACCTAACCAAATAACGACACACACAATAAGCGACAAAAAATAGTCTAACCCACATACCCAGTGGAACACGGCCTGGTCAGGTTAGGCCTTAACTTGTCCTTGGACTCGTTTTAGCTCATTCTCAGCTCTAGGTTTTGCCTAGCTATCATAGTCAATAATAACGGCTCGTCGTCGTCATGCAAACGTTTTGGCCAGAACATATAACAAATTAAGCCTATACTATCGTCATAAATCGCAAGGAGTTTATACAGGGTGTTCCAGCATTAAAGGTAAGTAATAGGTGATTGGACATCTGGGGGACCACCAAATAAGCCCCCCGTTTTCATTTTTTCGATGAATAAAAAATTGAAGATTTCGACAGTTAAGTAAAAAAAAAATGATTTAAAAAAAAAAAAATTATTCCCTGTTATTTAGTGCAAAAAGCTCACCTTAAAAGAGGGGTCACATCATTTTCAGTCTTTTTCAGCCCCTAACTCTTCTCTTATCACTTTTCTTATTATTTTTTTCTTACCTCTAGTCTCTAATCATTTATCTCTTATCACTAATATTTTATTATTTATTCCTTATCTCTTGTTTCTAATCATTTATCTTCAAACACTTATCATTTAGCACTTATCTCTTATCATTTATCTTTAATCTCTCATAATTTATCTTTTTTCTTTTATCTCTTATCAATTATTTCTGGTCTCTAATCATTTTATGAGTTAGGGGCCGAAAGGGACTGAAAATGATGTGACCACTCTTTTAAGGTTAGCTTTTTGAACTGAATAACATGGAATAATTTTTTTTTTTTTTAGGTTATTATTTTTTTACTTAACTGTCGAAACCTACAATTTTTGACTTATCGAAAAAATAAAAACGGGGGGCTTATTTGGGGGTGTCCCAGATGTCCAATCACTTATTACTTACCTTTCATGCTGGAACACCCTGTAGATCAGAAAAAATCACTTTCAGGAGCCAGCAGGCTAAAGCATGTTCCATATTTTATAATTTTAGCAGTTAGGTTTTAAGTAGACTGTAACTTTTTTTTGCTATCAAATTAAATATTGAAAATAATATCTTATCAAAATAATATATTGAGTTACACACCATTTTGAAATGTATCATTTTTTGTATTTACTATGATCAGATGTATGTAGAACTATCAAATAAGCTGCTAAACGTAAGTACTTTACATAATTTTATTATTGATAATAAATTCTGCTCAGACTTCATGAAAATAAAAGACAATTCTATTTCTAATATTGTGCGCATCGCTATTGTTTCGATTAAAGGTGTTAGTGTAGGTTTTGAGTGGGTTTTAATAACGCAACAAAATGAGTTGTCGTAATGACAAGATATTGTTTATTGGACATGAACTAGTAATGATATAAGTCACAATTTTAAGGTATAATGTAATATAATATAGGAAAACAAAAATAACAATTTAATGGCTACATAATACGAAAGGAAGATTATAATAATATTTATCAGTGAAAATGAGACGTGTGGCGTAGACAGCTATAAAATTATTATGAATAATAATATTATGATTAACTGTTCGAATAGGAATTACATTAGCCGTTACTGGAAGTTCCAATCATATTGTATGTACTTTGATTAAGTGTTTTTAATCATTCTGCGGAAGGAAGGGTGTTATTATTGGTATATGTTATTATCTAGGTTTAAATATCGTTGGATCGATTATGGCTACTTTGTTCCGCAAGTACAAAAGCACATGATTTCTAAATTGAGCTGTATCCAAATTGATATGTTTTATTACAAACTTTCAAGTATATATTTTAATTTTAAATACTTTTTTTTCATCCTTATAATAACAAAAAATAACATTAAATCATTAATTAATAGTTGCTTCCAACATAACTAATAATCCTATGTTAAACTCGAAATAACATTAGATCAACTATAATTCCTTGTCTTAAGCTATATAAAGAACTAATTAAAATTGGTCAAAAATTACAGTATTATAATGTATTATTTTAAACGCAAATTAATAAAATGTAATAAATATTATTTTTGTAATAATTTTTATTGAAAATTTACCTTCTTAAAAAAAAATTTTCCATGAACTATGACATTTGAACATTGTTACAAAAATTACATAAATATACACCAATAGCAAAAGTTAGGGTGCTCAAAAATCCACCTCCTCCATTTTAGATTAAGTGAAAAGATTTTTAGACATTTTCATGTCTTAGCTCTGGCACATAACCGAAAAAAGCGTAACGAAAAAAGAAATGGGGTTGGGACGGGAGATAGGGGTAGGAGATAGGGGCGGGATATAGGGGTGAGTGATAGGGGTAGGGGTGGGATATAGGGGTAGGAGTGAGTGATAGGTGGTAGAGGTGAGTGATAGGGGTAGGGGATAAGGGGTGGGGTGGGATAGGGTTGGGGTTGGGGACAGGAGATGGGGTGGGAATGGATATGGGGGTGGAATTAGCTCTGGCACATAACCGAAAAAAGCTTGATACATATAAAAATGTACTGTCATAGTTACCCATATATCGTAGTTAACAATATAATGAAAATATTTTCATTACCTGTTGACTGTTGATTCACACACACATAGCAACCTAGAAACTGACTACGGCCAAAGTGTAAATTTACCCTATTTTTGGGGTTTTTCCTTAATAAAAAAAAAAAATTTGACTACAGATTTTTGAGAAAATTGTACACGTTATAGTTCCATTTTAGATCAACCTTCGGTCTAATATTCAGATCTAAATCTGCAAAACTTTGATTGAAAAAGGGAAATAAAGAAAAAAATACTATCCCTTCTAGGGGAAAGGGTTTAAAATATTTTTTTGGTCTGTTAATGTTTATCGTTAGTACTATGTTTGAAAAATTTAGAACTTTTTGAACTATTTTTAAAAAAGTTATAGTGCATCGTAATTTTAAGTTGAAAGTGTTGTACATTTTTTAGGTGTTTTTCTCGATTTTGATGGGGAAGGGGTGACTTTTTTAAATTTTTGGCCCCTAAAGTACCTTTCAGGTATGATTTCTGATCTATAGAGTTGCTACACAAAGAAATCGGTTCAGCGGTTTACGAGATATCGTGGGTCCAGATACAAAAATACAAAATAAAAACACATCATTGTAAAAACAATACCTTCTCAGCTCGGCATCGATACTAAAAGTAAATTTATTGATTTAAAAAAAACGAATTTCCTTTTGGCTGTTTTTTTTGTGAATTTTCTGTTGGCACAACAAATGATTTGAAGTTATGTACCATTTGGTTTTTATCACAAATTTTTAGTTGTCAAAAAAACTGCCTCCGTTAGCTCTTTTCCATCATATGATATTTTACCTACAATGTAGTATTTTGATTTATATAACGTTTTGATACCTACATATTCTTTTTCATTTTTTCTAAAATTAAATATTATATGTTGTATGATCGAATAAGCTGTTAAACGTAAGTACTATTTTATTATTGATTATAAATTCTGCGCAGATTTCATAATTCTATGTCTAATATTCTATACATCGCTATTAGACTATAAAAAAATTGAGCTCAATAAAACTTTTCTATTCATAATTAACTGAACAAATTAACAATACTTTACTTGTGATATACTATCGTATTATATGTATTTGGATGAAAAAATTTTAATCCATCTATGTGGGGGGGGCATATTATTATGGGTAGCTGTTCTTTTCTAGGTTTAATACTTTAATTATCGTTGGATTAAGTATGGCTACTTAGTTCCCCAGGTACAAGAACATACGACCTCAATATTGAGTTTTATTAACATTTTTTTTTTTTTTTTGTTATTCCTAATTTACCATTT